GCGGGGCCGAATCGTTCGGCGGGATGTCCGAGAGAAGTGCACACCTCCACCACCCCGTCAGCATCAGCAGCGGCAGGCAGCACACCCCCTTCCTCCTCATGAATCGGGCCTCCTGCGGCCTCGACCGCCACCTGCACCGACGGTGTCGAGTCTGACACGTAGTGCTGGGGGGTCAACCTGAAGAAACGCTCAGCCGTGGCCCGCTGAAGGGCCGAGGGAGCGCAAGCCGAGTTACGCAAGAAACGATATGACAGGGTGGTGCGAGCGAAACGGTTGCACAACAAACACCTGTACTCAGAAATAGCTTTACTGAACATCATCGTGCGGGATGTGACAGCAAGCGAAAGAGCGGGGGGGGCCTTGCGGGGCGCTGGGGCGCCGGCAGCTGGCTGCAGCTGCTCCGCCTTCCGCGCGGCCGCCTGGACCATCCAGGCGAAGGCCTCACCGTCCTTACGAGCGACCTGCAATCTGGATTTGTGCACATCAACTAGGACCTGCGCCACAGCATGGGACTGCGAGCCCAACTTAGCAAAATAATCGGCCCATTCGTTTCCGACAAAGTCAAAAACTTCGGCCGCCCCTAGGGGCAGCACGTCGTCCAGGGAACGATGGGCGCTCGTCCAGCGAAAGAGGGGAGGCTCCGACTGTCCAATATCGTGCCTTATCTGCCTCCAGATAAACGCCTGACGAGAAGCACCAGATTCACACAAAGAAGAGAGCTGCTGGCCTGTCTTCACCAAACTGAGATGATCAGACACAATCTCAGCTGGGCGCGCTGCGATCTGGATGGCTCGCAGGGCGGCATAATGCTCCGCCCTAGGGACGGTCTGAAGCCTGCCAGGAAGCGGGCCGTAGATCGCTCTAACAACACAGCCTGACTCATCAAGTTGAACCACGGCCCAGCCGCAGCGCGTCAGGCCTTCCATCGAATTCGCCAGGCCTGACCCGTCCGTGTACACCCTCGGCCCCCAAGCTCCCCGCCAGTCACCCCACCCCATCGTCGGAAGCGAGTCGGCGACTGGCTCTGGAAAGGGCGGCAAGGGCGGCAGCCCATAATTTAAAAAGAAAGCCTCCTTGCCATTGTCTGTCTGGTAGCTCTTGACCAAGCTGGCACGGTGCTCCAAAACGTCGTCGGGCAAAGCTTCTTCAGGCCTACACTCAAGCATGCCATCGCAACCCCACCACTGGTGGGCCTCGGTGCCGACCTGCTCTTTACACACAAAACACAACGGCGTCGGGCGCAAATTAATCGAATGGAGGCGCTCAGGAGTCCAGACCCCCGCAGCCCACAAGGACCGCAGCGCCCCACGACGGCCCCCATCACGGAGAGCAAGCACTGATTTCCGAAGCGCACGACGCCAAACAGTGTGCCCCTGGTTGTCGGGGAAATGGGCCAGGACCCTCGCAACCTGCCATCTTCGAATTCCCTGCTCCAGAAAAATGCGCACGTCCTGAGGACATACACGGAGCAGGTCGATGGGCCAGCCCTCGTCGCTCACTAAGGTGGTGGGTCCTGACATTGACCAACCTATCCGAAGGAGCGTATACCAAACCGAAGAAATAGGACCCCTGGCAAACTTCCACGCTGGATTGTGCTGAATTCTGTCTTTGATCGCGAGCCAAGCTCGAGCAAGACGTGAAGGAACGACCCTGGCTTCCCAGACACAAGTAGCAAACCTCACAACAAGCGGAACCGAAGCATCGAACACAGGGTCGAACCTATCGTCCTTTTGCGTGCATAGATAGGTAGTGAGGCAGGACTTGGGCTTAGCTCCTACCATCCCTCCCGCAAACGTACGCAGCTCGCGGAGAGAAACATCGGACACACCGCTAACGCCACCTCCGTGGCTGGCTGCTGGGAGGAGCCCCGTTCGCCAAAGGGCCTTGACGGCCTCAGGTTGAGCCTGACGGAGCCCCCAGACTTTACGCCTCTTGGACTGCAAGACTCGAAGTCGGGCCTTCTCTTGGACCCGCAGAACCTTGACTCCGTGCATCTCGTGCCCTAGATTACGCATGCCGTGCTTGCTGCGAAAACCTAGCTGCGAAATGTGCCGTGCGAATGTGTCACGGGCGGCACAAGTGTTGGCCACAAACCCACTCTTATTCGCCTGCACACGCAATCCGAGGGGGGCAATATCATGGCAGAAAGACTGAACCGCCTGCGCAAGCACATGTGAGCTCTCTCCTGGATCTTTGCCTTGGCGGCGTTTGCCCACCCAGTTAAAACTCACGTCATCCATCAGGTCCCTGGGTTCCACAGATGGGAATCGCTCCACCGACAGGTTCAAACTTCTATACAGAAGCACCGTGAGCAGAGTGGTGGCTAGAGAACACCCAGCTAAGATCCCTTGGGCCGTGGAAACCGAGTACGACAAACTACCGAAGGCTCTAAGGGCTCTAGGCTGGGTGTAGTTCTGGATGGCCATCCAGGCCAGACGGAGCGGGAACCCTGTGGCCTTGGCCTCCCTCAAGAGGGCCTGGAGGTCTACACATTCATAACATTTCACCATGTCTATGAAAACAGTAACACAATCCTCTCGCAATTCGTGCGCAATCTCCGAAGCTAAATTTAAAGAGAAGGCGCTGTCACTGGACGATCGCCCTGGACCTGTCCCCCACACCGTGGGATGCGCGTGGTCACGCTCCCAGGCGACCGCTGTTGGACGGCGAACACGTCCCCAAATCCGAGTGAGGGTGTGCATTAGGGCGATCAGCCTGCAGCCGCCTGTGGACTTCGGAATACGCACAAGCTGAGTAAGTATGCGAGACGACGGCCAAATCAGAAGCTTTTCACATCGCATGAACAAGCGCGCCAGCGACTCCAGGCCGGCGTCCGAAACGAACCAGAACGCGCGGGGCGCGAACTCGAAGTGCCCGATGCCCGTGGTCCAGGGGAACTGCAGGATCGCACGCTTGATATCGTCCAGGGATATATGTGGTAGGTCGTCCCACTGATCAGATGCGTGAGGTACTGGCTCAGGAAGATCATGCATGTGCCATATGGCGTCCCACTCTCGCATAGCTCTGTCCGCCATCTTGAATGGCTGCGCCTCCGAACCAGGGAGCAGGCAGGCAGCACAAACTTCCTGAAGAGCACGGCCTCGAGTGTGACGGTGTGCGAAACGACCTCCACCTTTGAACGACGAAGCCGCCCACTCTCGCCAACACGCCAAGGCTGTGTCATTCTGGCGCTTCTGGCACTCGTCCGCTCGACCGATGATGCTCTCAATCATGTCATTCGCACGACCACTGGTGACGAAACCGATGTCCATGTCGAAGAAGTTCCGAGCGTCATCATCCAAGGCGTCGCGTAAAGGATCGTTGCGAATCCTTGTCATGAACTTGGTGATGTCCACTAGCATACGAGCAAACTTGTCGAAAGCCTTGCTGGACATCGTACCCGCCCGCTCCTGATGGCATAGCAGCACAGCCTGATTGACAAGGCTCTCTTTGTAGCGGCGTAAATGGCGGGCCCATCGGCCTGCTGCTCTCCAAGCTCTGTCTCGTGTTGTCTGCTCACCTCTGCGCCTAGGCGGCTCCCACCGCAACTTAGCGTACTGCATTTGGGTGTCTCCGCCTCTGCCTCGGTAAGCCTCAGTGTGAGATCCGACAATATCATATCTGGCAAGCAACTCAATCTCCAACTGTGCCAAGACTGCGTCCCATGCTGCACTCAATGTGGGATTATCAATCGCTTGATCAATAATACGATTGACCTGGCACCAGTTCAAAGGGTATCTAGAGCACCCAGGCTTCGGCTGTCTCGAAGGGCGCTTCGGGCTGACCAACGTGCGAGTCTTCAAAACAACATCCTTCCCCATGATAGGTAATACCACTGGCAGGTGTGGGAATGTGTCTCCATTTTCCTGCACATACGGGCGGCACGTTCTGGGGAGCAGATTGGTGGTCATCAGGAAATAGTCTATCGTCCTGCCTGGCAACGACTGCCTGCACGTCGAAACTGATGGGCGCGTCAACACACCTCCCAGTCCATACAACCATTCCATGTCTCCGAACTCGGCCTGCTCCAGGTTGAAGTCTCCCGCGACGATCCAATCAAGACCCATCGCGTTGACAACTTCAATGTATTCACAGATCTCTGCCAAGATGCGAACGTTATTATCAGAGAGGCCTTCATTCACATAAAGATATGTTGAAATCACAATGAATCCTCCAGGCACCCCCCAATGGACGTGGGCTGCCAGCGCTCTCCCATTCGCCATGTGGGGCGTCGAGCGCCCTGGGGGGGCCGTGACCAGCACGTCTCCCTTCGCCAGGATGGCCAGGCCCGCCTGAGTGCCCTCCTGGTTGCCCGTCTTGGTGGCCGAGCTCCAGACTCCATGCCAGCCAGGGTCCAGAGCTCGATGCTGCAGATCTGGAAGACGATCCTCTGCGACGTGGTGCTCTTGTATAGCCACCGCAGTGTGCTCGCAGGAGTCAAGGAAGCGCAATAGCTGGCCCTCCTCAGAGCAATTGAAAGTCACAATAGAACCCTTGCGGTCAGGAACATGATTACCATCTTCATCTGCACCTGTGTGAGAAAAGGGGAATGGGCGGCCCCAAGCGTCATCCTTGCCATCACCTCCGCCAGTCGTCCCAGCTGGAAGCCCAGCAGATCCGATGCCTGAGCAAACCTCCCCGTAGTCGTTGCCGCCCAGACGGCCTCCGCGGTCTTCCTCGTCATCACCTCGGCCAGTATTCCCAAACGGTGGCTCGCTGCGGTCTCCCGCTGCTATGCTGCGGTCTCCCGCTGCACTGCCGAGAGCCTCGGCGCGAAGCCAGTGCCCAGCAGATCCGATGCCTGAGCAAACCTCCCCGTAGTCGTTGCCGCCCAGACGGCCTCCGCGGTCTTCCTCGTCATCACCTCGGCCAGTATTCCCAACCTGAAGCCCGACAGATCCGACCGCAGAGCAAGCCGCCTGGGAGCCAGAGGCAGCAGCAGGCCCCTGCCCTGCTCGTCGAGGAAGCAGTACGTCTCGATCGGCCGCAGACAGGCCGACCTTGCTGGAGGCCTTGCCTCGGCGCTGGCGCGCTCTCGCCTTAGTCAAGGCCTGCTCGCGCGCTCCAACGCGCTCCAGCAGCTGGGCCCTCCGCATGCTGCGGGCAGCGCTGGCCTCGGCCAGGGCCGCGGGAGAGCGGCTGGAGCCTGCCGCCGCCGACGCTTGCCCGAACAGCGGATTGGCATCCAGCCCTCCAGCAACCGTGCCGATGGTGCCAGATGCCCTTGCCAGCGGCAGGAGCGCCAGGAGCAGCAGCGCGCGCAGCAGGCTAGGCAGCAGACAGCACCTTGGCCCTCTTGACCTCGCGCCAGCCGCCCAGCGCGTCGGTGATCTTGCGCACCTGGCCGCGGAGCTCCTCGCACTCCTGGGACGGGTCCACGCCCGAGCTGGAGAGGAACTCGCGCAGCTCCTCCTCGGTCGCCGTGTCGGGGTCTGGGAGGTCTGGGCCTGCCTCCGACCCCTTGGCGCCCTGGCTGGGCACAGGCTCAGCCTTGGCCTGGGTCGCCCTTGCCTCGGCCGCAGCCTTGGCCTCCTGCGCTGCGGCCTCGACCTTACGCTGCTCGTACTCACGGACCTCGCCCAGCACCGTGCCAAGCTTCTCCGCGAGCACCCCGCTGTCGCCGAGCTCCGCCAACATCGCGCCCAGCTTCTCGATGGTGACGCCGAGCCCCTCGACGATGTCAGCCTTTGGCGAGACGCCTCCAGCTGGTGGACGAGGGAGCGTGGCGGCGAGCCGCGTCTGCTCCTGCTGGAGCTCCAAGATCGCCGCGTCGGACTCGGCGAGCTGCTGCGTGGCCTCATCCGCCTCCTTGTTGGCCTGCACGACCTTGTCCTTGGCTGCCTGCAGGGCCTCCTCCTGCTTGGCGCGCTTCTGCTCGAGCTTGCCCAGCTTGAAGGACAGGGTGCGCAGCTGCGCTGGGACGGGCTTCGCAGCTGCCAGCTCCGCGCTGAGCTTCTTGCGAGTGTCCTCCAGCTCGACCCGAGCCGTCTCGAACAGGACCTCGCTGGAGCCGGCGATGGCCCGCAGCGCAGCGTCGACCTCCTCAAGGCGCGCCCTCTTCTGGTCCAAGGAGTCACCCTGGCCCTCACAGTGCTCTGCGCCCTCGTCGACCTCCATGGACGGCGCGTGCTGCTTGCTGGTGGTCTCAGCCAGCTTGGCCTTGGTGCTGGCCAACTCCTTTGCCAGGGCCTCCAGCTTGTCGTTAACCCACGGCGGCACCGCAGCAGAGCCGCTGCCTGAGTTCGCAGCTGGCGGCTTGGCACGCTTGGTGGACGGTCCAGGCGGCGGGCGAACACACATGAATGCCACGGCCTTGGCCGACCCGCACTTGGTGCACGACACCGTGTCGGACCGATTCCACCACTGGTTCTGCGAGATCGGGTGGATGCAGTACTTGCAGCACCAGTCCTTAGCCTGCTCGCGGCGCCGCTGCGCATGGCGACTGAGCTTCGGGGGCCCATCGCCTGCCATGCCACTGCAGTCCACTCCTCAGGCGTGCTTCGGAAAGAAGCCTGCGACGCCTGGGCAGGCTGACGCAGGCGTGCGTGAATGTGCCCCCCTGTGGGGCGGGAAGTAGGGAGCCTCGAGCCGCTCCCTTGGCTGCACACAAGCTCCCAGCGCGGGAGCGACGTTGGGAACTTGAGCCAAAATGGCTACGGAGGGAGGAGGAGGAGGAGGAGGAGAGGAGGAGGAGGAGGAGGAGGAGGGAGGAGGAGGAGGAGGAGGAGGAGGGGGAGGAGAAGGAGGGGGAGGATGAGGAGGACGAGGAGGAGGAGGAGGAGGAGGAGGAGGAGAAGGAGGAGAGGATAAGGCGAAGCGTTCGGCATCCACTCAGGTTTTGGCCACATGATGGAGGGCAACGCTTAGGGGGGGAACATCGACCCCGGATCGTCAATACATCGCCGATAGAGGCCCGCGATGCAGAAGAACCCCGTGAGGAAAACCATTCGTTCCACTCGAATTCTGGACATCAATAGAAGCTGGACGGGGTAAACGCACTGGGCTAGCACGCGTCATGGGGATCATCGACCGTCATGGCCGACCTCGTCGCCACGCGCGCGGACGGGGCCGAGCTGGTCCGGGCTCGTGCTGCTGTCTGGTCTGGGCGGGCTTGGGCTCAAATTCTTGGACGTTACGGTAGGAGCTCGGACACAAGGCACCTTCCGCAGGAAACAAGAAACCCAACCCTACGACCCCAGGGCGTCCACTGAGCTTTTGGTGTGGTAGCCTCACGCCTTCCATCGCAAAACCATCGAAACCCAAGAAACCCAGGGCTCCATGGAGGCAAGCGGAGTTTCCTGGCATGGGCTTCCACCGTAGCGAATCTGCACGTCCCCGAACCCAATCGGCGATGTCTGAGCGATGGGGGGTCGATGTGTCCCTCTGGGCGCCACGGGACGCCTCTCGGCGAGGCGAGGCCGCTGGAACGCACCTCCGATGCTTGAAGGCCGCCGAGAGCCGACGAGAACGCCCAAACACCTCGAATGTAGAATCTCCGATCCTCCGCGAACCTACCTCCCCTAGCTGTGGGGACAGCGAGATAACGATACCGCTGCTCCCTGGACCTTTCCAACGTTGGAGGAGAAGCCAGCTGTGGCGGCGAGGGCTCCCCGGGACGAGCAGCGGTCCATTCCGACAAAAACGTCTCCCCACTGAGCCTGTCGCCCCCGAACGTTGCCCCTGGCTTTCGGGTCGCAAATCGGCTCCCCAGAAACAGTTCGGAGTGACCGCGACGAGGCGCAGCTCATAGACACCACCCTGGGCATTGACCACGGCAGACGAAACACAAATATATATATATATATATATATATATATATATATGTATATATATAAATGTATATATATATATACATATATATATATATGTATATATATACACATATATATATATATATAGCAGAAACCTGTCGCAAACTGCAGAAGACGTTCGTCCCCGAACCTCGAACCTCTGAGCCTGCCCCCCACGAGCATTGCCCCTGAGAGTAGCCGTACCCCCACCCACCCCTCCGGGGCCAACTGAGGCGCCGCTCCCGACACGGGACACCCGCTCTCCTGGCCTCGGAACCTACTGCCATCTGCCCTGAGCCCTTGCCCCCTGCCCTGAGCCTCGACCCCCTTGCCACCCCACACGGGCTCTCCCATGAGCCTATACTTATAGGGGAACGACAAAGGGCATAAATATAAAAACTCGGAGGTCCGCGCGGGTTTCTCGGATCCGGGCTGGACCCCCCTCCCTGACGCGCGGAGCGCACCAAGGGCGGCGCTGGAGGCGCTGCCAGGCGGCCCCAGCGCGGACCCGAAAAACATCCACGCGGACCCCCGCCTGTTTCTGTTCATGTCATTGCTCGTCCCCCTATATACGTACCCCCCTCTCGTCGCCCCTCTGTCCTGAGCCTATACCAGGGGCAAAAAAACCTGCCTCGCTTTTGACCACCCTCGCTTCCAAGAGATACCAAGCGAGGCCAAACTACGGCCTGTACTGGTCAGGCCGCTTGACGAGCAGGCGCTTGATGAGGGTAGGTCATTCACGCTCCGATCTACCGCCCTCTCGTCGCCCCTGGCCGCCCCCCCCCCTCCCTGCCGCCCGCACAAGCGCCTCGGCGACGCGCCCGGCGACGGCGCGAGCCGGCCCTCCGACACGATGCCCACGTCGGACGGGGATGGGGAGCGCTGCCGGTGCTGCGCGGGGGTCGCGGGCGCGGGCGTGACCTCCTCCTCCTCCTCCTCCTCCTCCTCTCTCCTCCTCCCTCCTCCTCCTCCTCCTCCTCCTCCCTACCTCCTCCTCCTCCTCTCCTGCCCTGCTCTCTTCCCTTCCTCCTCCTTCTCCTCCTCCTCCTCCTCCTCCTCATCCTCCTTCCTGGCCTCCTCCTCTTTCCTGGTCTCCTCCTCCTCCTCCTCTTCCTATTCCTTCTCCTCCTCCTCCTCCTCCTCTTCCCTTCCTCCTCCTCCTCCTCCTTCTTTCCTTGGTTTTTTTTGTTCCTCTCTCTTCTTCTCCTCCCTCCCTCCCTCCGCGACCCCGGCAGCCGTCCAGCTTTATAGGACGGCTGGCCACCGGGGCGAGGAGCGTGAGGATGCCCGTGCGGGCATGCAGTTGAGCATGGATCAGCAACCCGAGCAGCTCGGAGAGCGGCCGCCCGCCGGAAGCTCGCCTCCCGCCGCTAATTGCCGAGCGCGGGCCTTCTGGCCTGCACACATAGCACGCATCGCGCCTCTGGGCCGCCCTCGGAGCGCTGTCGTGCCCGGGCCCGGCCCGCGCCCAGCCCTGGGAGGATCGGGTCGGGCGAGAGGGGGGGATAGCCAAGGGGGGGTTTGAGGATCAGCTCACGTAGCTGATTTTCCCGGCGCCTCCCGGCGCCGGGAGGCGGCCATGTCTCGAGGAATGGGCCCCTCGGTGGGGCCGAAGCCAGCTGCGTGCAGCAAATTTCGTATCCCCCCCCTTTCCCAATCCCCCCCTTTCGTCCGGCCCGAGAGGAGGCAGCAGGGGCGGGCGCAGGCAGCAGAGGCTCTGCTGCGCAAAGCAAGAAAACATAAGCGAAGTGGGGGGGGGCGATGGATGCTGGCAGGGCAGGCGGGCCGGAGCAGGAGGGAAGGAGGGAAGGGGGGCTCCTGGGGTCGGCGGGGGGGGGGGGCGGTCGTGGCGTCCTCGTGGTGGCGGTCGCGGCATTGGTCGTGGTTGCCGCGGCAGCCGCAGCAATGCCGTGTCCTGTCGTGGCGGTCGTGGCGGTTGTCGCGCTGGTGGTGGTCAGGGTGGTCGTGGTGGTGGTCGCGTCCTGTCGTGCGCGGTCGCGGTGGTCGTCGCGCTGGAGGCCGTCGTCGGTGAGTTCGCTAGCGCTGCTGCTGGCCGGGCGCCCGAGAGCGCTCAGGAGAATCTCGGCATTGCCCATATGGAGGGTCGTGCTGGTTTGCCCTCGGAAGCCGCCCAGCAGCTCGGGGTGCTCGCCGTCGTCCAAGTCCGCCCCGTAGCTGCGGACGAAGCTGGCTGCTTCGTTGCTGGGCTAGCTCCCCCCCTTTCGGAACACGGACGTCCCTGGCTGCTTCCTCAATCGGGGACGTCCCCGATTGAGCAATGCGACGTGCATGGGCGTCGTCCTTATTCGTCGTCGTCGTCGGTCGTCGCCGTTGTCGTCGTCATCGTCGTCGTCGTCGTCGTCGTCGTTGGTCGCCGGTCGTCGTCGTCATTCGTTTTTCCTCGTGTTCGTCGTCGTCGTCGGTCCGTCGCCGTCGCCGTCGTCGTCGTCGTCGTCGTCATCGTCGTCGTCGTCGTCGTTGGTCGTCGTCGTCGTCGCCATTGTCGTCATCGTCGTCGTAGTCGGTCGTCGGTGTCGTCGACCCAATCTACGTGGTGCAACTCATGTGGTGCAAGACGTGGTTCGAGCTATGTGGTGCAAACTATGTGGTGCAAGTCACGTGGTTCAACCTACTTGGTGCAGTTGTGTGGCGCGGTGCAGTTTATATGGTGCAGTCTGCTTGGCTTCATCTAAAAATGTTGTGCACTCTATGTGGTGCAAACTAGTGGTGAAATCTGTGTGGTGCCAGCTACGCGGTGCGAGGTAAGTGGTGCAGGCTATGTGGTCCGAGCTGCTTGACGCAAACTATGTTGTGCAGTCTACGTGTGCGGATATGTGCGGTGCAATCTGCCAGACGCGAGCCGCCCATCACACCGAGAAGCCCTTCTGGGCCCCAGCGCTGGCGCCGCCCTGAATCTTCCCGGAGACCCTTCCTGGAACACCGCGGTGAGCTCTCCAGCGCGAGGTCAGAGAATCCTCGCCGGACCCCATTCCCCGTCCTCGTCGTCATCCTCGCTCTCCTCGCTCTCCTCCTCCTCCTCCTCCTCCTCCTCCTCCTCCTCCTCCTCCTCCTCCTCCTCCTCCTCCCCGCCCCTCCCCTCCCCTCCCCTCCCCTTCCCTCCCCTTCCTCCTCCGAATCGTTTTCGGATCGGCGCTGTGCTCCCGTCGTTCAGAATGGCGCTCTCGCCCCAGCGCGGGCCACTTTTCTGCTTCCGATTTTTTGTTATTCGTTGTCGTCCCCCTCCTCTCCCCGCCTCCGCCATTTCCTGGTCCTTCTGCTCCTCCCACTCCTTCCACTCCTGTTCCTGCTGCTGCTGTTCGTCCTCGTCCTCGTCCTCCTTCCTCATCCTCCTGAAGCACTGCAGCAATGACGGCAATAGAGTTCTCCGAAGGCTGCCGCTCCTCCTCCTCCTCCTCCTCCTCCTCCTCCTCCTTTTCCTCCTGCTCATCCTCCTGCTCACCCACCACCTGCTCCTCCTCCTCCTCCTCCTCCTCCTCCTCCTCCTCCTCCTCCTCCTCCTCATCTTTCGTCGTCACCTCACGATGGGACGTCTGACCCACATGTGTTGGCCCCCCCAGTCACGGTGCTACAAGGCAGAGGTGTCTGCCTGAGGATATGCGCTACACGCACATGGCCCCACCATTGCCAGATGACAACATCGAGCACCTATTTCAAGGGTGGGAAAGCCCAAGTGCCCCATCCGATTCAAAACGGTTATGCCTACCCTCAAGGACAGCAGCACTACACTGCAATCCTATGTATGCAGCTTCGATGTTCCGATTGCGCACAACACGATGGGGTCTCTTGTGAAGTTCAAGGTTGCCTATGGCACGCGTCCGCGGAGAGAGAACAATCAGCGCAACTCAAAGGGATGGGATGGAGAGATAGGATGTCAGATACGGCACGAGCGCACCTAGCCTGTCATTCCCCTCTCTCCCTTCTCTCTCCTGCCATCCCTCCTGCCTCACTCCTTCCTCCTGGCCCTCTCTCCTCCCCCCTCTTCCCTTGCCTCCGGCAACTGGATCACGTGATCTACGAAGGGGCCGTCGGGGCAACCAGAGCGGTGCCGCCGTTTTGAAGCTCCCGCCGAGATATGAAGCTGCTGCGGGGTGCCTGGAGCTGCAACATCAAAGCGCCGACACCATCTGAAGACGCCGAGCCGCTGGAAGGGTGGACAGTTAGCCACGTCCTCCTGGCAAAAGGGTGGCGCAAAGGCGACGAGGAAGCGTCGGTGGCAGCGCGCAGAAAGGAAAAGGGGGGGAAGTCAGAGGAGAAACTGGCGGCGCGCACAAGTGGGTAAGGAAGGAGGGGAAGGCTTCTTAGAAGGATGCTTCTCGCTGGAAGGCGCGGGCCCTGCATCTACAGACAGGGCCCGCGCCTTCTAAGAAGTAGGGGTGGTTCCCAGAAGCCTTCGCCCCTCCCCCCGCCTCCCTTGCTGTTGCATCCTCGGGGGACCTTGTCTGTCCCCTCTCGGCCCCGTCCGCGCCGAATCGGCGTCGAACCCATGTCGGACTCGTCGGACCCGTGTCGAATCCGTGTCGAATCCGTGCCGAATCCGCGTCGAATCCACGTCGAATCCACGTCGAATCGGCGTCGAATCCACGTCGGACTCGTCGGATCCATGTCCAATCCGCGTCGAATCCGCGCCGAATCCACGCCAGCTCCGCGTCGAGTCCACGCCGAGCCCGCGTCGGGCACGAGAGAAACAGCACGAAACATTTGGGGGCAGGCGAGGGCCCCCGAAGATGCCACGGACCTCCCTGTGCGAGGGGGCCCCAGGACACACACACACACACACACACACACACACACACACACACACACACACACACACACACACACACACACACACACACACACACACACACACACACACACACACACACACACACACACACACACACACACACACACACACACACACACAACACACACACACACACACACACACACCACACACACACACACACACACACACACACACACACACACACACACACACACACACACACACACACACACACACACACACACACACACACACACACACACACACACACACACACACACACACACGCACACACACACAAATGACAGGATTCCCCATATTTTCCCATATGTTTTGAGTTTGTGTCTTCCCCCCCCACTTCCCATATTTTCCCAGATTTTCCTGGGAGTCGACGGTTCGTTGTGTCTGTGTGTTTCTTCCCCTCCTGACTGTGCTTGTGGCCGAGCACATTTTTGAGCACTGGCTTTGGACCAGTCTCAAGCGGCCAACACACCGGCCACGCGTCTCGCCCACCGGGGGGCTCTCGGGGCCGGATTGCCTACGGTGCAACATCGAACGAGCGTCCTCCTCCACATCCTCCTCCTCCTTCTCCTCCTCCTCCTCGTCCCGCTCCGCTCCTCCTCCTCCTCCTCCTCCTCCTCCTCCTCCTCCTCCTCCTCCTCCTCCTCCTCCTCCTCCTCCTCCCCCCCTGCTGAGGCGGGGCAGAGGTACAGAGTGCGCGTGTTGTGACTCCGCCGGGGAGCCACCCGAGAGGGCCGACACGGCGTGGCACCCCCGCGCGTCCCCCAGGCTGCTCCTCGGAGGGGGGAGGGGGGCGGCCCTCTCCGAGAGGGCCAGCTGGGGCGATCCTCAGAGGGCCTCCCCATCGGCATCCCGAGAGGCCTTCTCGGTGCTCCCGGCCCCTTCCGAGAAGCCCACCAGGAGAGCCAAGGATCGAATCGATAAGTCGGATCGGCGATCGGAACGAATCGGGTCGGCGGAAATCGGCGGCCGAGTCGAGGAAAGTCGAATCGGCGGGAATCGGCAGGCTGATCAGCCTCCAATAAAGAATCGTAGCCCAAATCGGAATCCCAAATCGAATCGAATCGAAATCGGAAGCCATCGAGATCGAATCGACTCGAATCGGAGGAACCGAAACGAGCCCACTGCCCACTGCCTTCTCCGTCTCGGGGGGGTGCCAAAGGTGCCCCTTGCCCGAGGTGCCCCCAGCTTGGCGCTCCACGCTGGAGCACGTGGGGCCCCTCACGGGGCCTCGTGAGGGGGTGGTGAGGAGGCCGCGAGGGCCTCCTGGGAAATCTTGGGGGCGCCTTGGGCCAGGGGCACTTCTGGCAGTAGGTCGGGCCTGTCCCCCCACAGGGGGATTTGGAGCGAAGAATCAAACATAACAGAACACATAATCAAACATGGTCAAAACAAAGAATACAAAAAACGTCCCCATCATATTTTCGACTATTTCGGAATCTTCCCCCTGTAGAGGGACAGGCCCGACTTAATTCTAGCAGCACCCGATCAGAGGAGTGTCGCATCGCCCCCACCCTTCTCAGACCTCCGACGAAGTGATCTGTCGCAGCGCGGACCCCCAGAGGTCTGCACAACCTTTCCTGGGACCGGTTTTTCATGTGAGCGTTTTCTTGTTCGGAGTCTCGACATGGGGCGGAAGGGGTGGTCTGGCTCCAGACCTCTGCTTGATGCGACTGTTTACAGCAGTGCGTCCTACGGGGGAGATGCTGGAGTCAGGCGCCAAAAACAGCCAAGATGCACTCCATGGGTGGGGGGGGGGAAGGGGGGCGCGGGCCCGCGCCGATCGGCAACACAACGAGTAAGAGCACGATCGGCGGCGACGATAGGGGCGGATAGCCCAGGGGCGGGCATTACACGCATTCGCCCCGGGAGCCTTTTCGAAGACATAGATCATCGGCGCACCTGAATACATGTATTTCAGCGCGCGAAGAACGGTATAAAATAAACTTTTTCGCTGTCGGGGCCGCCCTGGGGCAGGCGCCCCCCGACAGCGAAACAGTTTTTTAACACCGTTCTTCGCCCGTTAGTGTGTTGCTCTCCCCTGGGCTATTCGCCCCTGTCGTCGCCTCTGACTCAGCGCCCCTCAAACGGGGACTCCACTAACGGGTACTTTGGCCAGTGACCCAGCGAACCCAACCCTTCCCGATGTGGGCAAAGCTGCAATGCAAGAAAAAGGCCCTAAAGTGGCAACTTTCGGCAAAAATTCAAAGTACCCGTTAGTAAGTACCCGTTACGGTGCCGCTGAGACACAATCACTTCCTGGGACAGGGTTGTTCCTTCCGAGCCGCTGCTTCACGGCCCCCTGGGGCCCGGCGACGGCACCCAGAGAGACGGAAACCTGGCCAAACCCTTCCGTCGCCAATTCTAGGGGCCTGCATGCGAGCCCTGCCCCCACCCCCCACGATCTCTGAAGGGGGAGGGTGGGGCCCACTTCCTTCGGGAGCTCCCGAGCGAAGTGAACCCCGCCCTCCCCCTCAGAAATCGTGGGGGGTGGGGGCAGGGCTTGCATGTGGTCCCCTAAATTCTCGCACGACGCGAGGATGTCAGGGCCCTCTCGCCACCATCGGGTCGGGTCGGGCGAAAGGGGGATAGCAAAGGGGGGGTTTGAGAATCAGCTCGTCGCGTAGCTGATTTTCCTGGCGCCTCCGGCGCCGGAAGCGGCTATGTATCGAGAAATGGGCTCCTCGGTGAGGCCGAAACCAGCTGCATGCAGCAAATTTCGTAACCCCCCCTTTCCCAATCCCCCCCTTTCGCCCGACCCGAATGTCAGGGCCCCAATCGCCACCACCCCCCTGCGCGCCGCCGGGAAGGACCCGGAGCGGAGCTCGCGCTCCCAGAAGCAGCCGCAGGGCAAAAAGCCGCAGAGGGGCGGCCGCCTGCCCCAGCGAGTGCCGGCGCTTGCCTCGGGGAGGAGGCGGGCTGCAACAGGAGGGAGGAGGAGGAGGAGGAGGAGGAGGAGGAGGAGGAGGGAGGAGGAGGAGGAGGAGGAGGAGGAGGAGGAGGGGGAGGAGGAGGAGGAGGAGGAGGGGAGGAGGAGGAGTAGGGTGATGATGTTGATGATGATGATGATGATGATGATGATGATGATGATGATGATGAGGAGGAGGAGGAGGAGGAGGAGGAGGAGGAGGAGGAGGAGGAGGAGGAGGAGGGTCAGGACGGGAGGAGGAGGAGTTATTCGGCGGCGAGCCCAGGGGGGCAAGCGAGAGGGGCCAGACCTACTCAGAAGGCGGCGGGGCTTCTCAGCAGCGTTCTGGTATTCTGAGGAGTCGCCTGTGTCGTCGGAACAAAAATTGGACAGCTTCTCGGAAGACCGGAGGCGCCCTGGCCCTTTTCAGAAAGCCCGCCCCATCTGCCTCCCCCCCTCCTGGGCCGGATGCCGACTTATGGAACCCGCTTTAAACCAGTGGACGCCTGAACCTAAGGAGGTTTTCCAATATTAAGCTCCTCTGGCTGGCCAAATTCCAAATTCCTAATTGATGCAGGACCCTTGGAAGTCCCATTTGCCATGGCCATGTATGGGCCCTTTGAAGTCAATACTGGCTCAGGCTAGGCCGAAGCAGCAGGACGCAAGGGTATCCTTGATGAAGTAGCGAATCCTTCCTGTGGATTTTGGCTGCAAGGATGTTTACACCTGCGGTGGCGGTGGGCCTTTCTGGACCGGCAGGTTGAACACGTCCATCAGCAGCCTGTGGCCACAACTTATCGCCCAACCGTTGACACTGGTGCTGAGGAAGGAGGAGGGGGGGGAGGAGGAGGGGGAGGAGGAAGAGGAAGAGGAGGAGGAGGAGGAGGAGGAGGAGGAGGAGGAGGAGGCGGAGGAGGAGGAGGAGGAGGGGGAGGAGGAAGAGGAAGAGGAGGAGGAGGAGGAGGAGGAGGAGGAGGAGGAGGAGGAGGAGAAGGAGGAGGAGGAGAAGGACGAGGAGGAGGAGGAGGAGGAGGAGGAGGAGGAGGAGGGTCAGGGTAGGGAGGAGGGAGGTGGGGAAGGGGAGGAGGAGGGACGAGGCGAGCCGCTCGCCTCTCCATGGTCAGCGCCACGCTTGGGGGAGGGGGACGGGAGCGCATCGTCAGAGGCCCAGCTTCTCGGACACCCGCGTTCCGAAGCGCGCGCCCCGCAGGGCCGCTTCAGCCTCTCGGAACCCAGGCAAGGGCTGCTAAATCCGTGGCTGCTAAAATCGACCTCCGGGAAGTTGTCTTCGTCCTTCCGGGAAGAAGCCCATTGACTGTTTCGCGTGCCGCGCCTCATTCCAGGAAGTTGTTTTTTTCCTTCCAGGAGGGCCGTTTTAGCAGCCACGGTTTTAGCAGCCCCCGCCCAGCTTTCGAGCCTCGGAGGGAGGAGGCAGGCGGGCGAGACGCAGACGTTCACCTTTCGCTCTTCGCGATCGCGGGACGCTGGGATGCGCAACGGGCTGGTCGTAGCAGCAATGCCCACTGCTGATTGGCGCCGGCGAACAAACACCATACGGTCGGGGCTTTGACCTAAGGAACCCTAAATAAGGAACGAGGCCCCTTTTTCCATAAGTTGAACTTCGATTTCCCATCGAAAACATAAGGAAAACCTGAGGCAAACTGCGAAACAATCAAGGAACACGGAGCCCCTCCCCAACGAAAAGGGTTCCTTCTTCAGGGCCCCGACTGTACTTGCCGAGGTGCTGTGGAACGGAGAAGCGGCTGACCTCAACAGGTCGTACGGGGTGAAGCACGAGCGACTTCCAGCCCAGCCTCGGCAGCAAACCGCCGCTGGACCGGAACGCAGTGGAGGCGCGGGCGCGAGGGGAGCAACAGGGAGCACGCGCAGGCAACACGCCCGGGCAAGCAAAGGCAGAGTCGCGGCATGTCTAGCTCCCTGGGGGAGGGAGTGCGGGCACAGGTCTCCGCGCACTCGGCCTCGGCCACGGGCACGGGGCGCATCGTCGAAAGGTCGCCCGGCAAAGACAGGGCAGACCTGCAGTGGGCAGGCAGGCCGATGCGCCGAGCAGTGGCCCGAGAGCGGGACACCGAGCCAGCTGCGAGCCAACACCACCGACTCCCAAACGGCCAGTGATATCACATACCTGGGGCTCCCAACCTCGCGCTCCGCGCTCCGCGAGGCGCGAAGCGCCAATGACCTCGCGCCCTCGCGCCGCCCCCCCCCCCTCCCAAGGGAGAACAGGAGGACGAGGAGGAGGGGGAGAGGGAACGAGGGCCGCGAGGCGCGAAGAACTTCGCGCCCTCGTGTGGGAGCCCTCGCGCACGCACTCGCACGCGCTGGCCTCCTGTTTCTGGCGTCGCGGCCGCGCGCGCAGCGGCGCGGCCGAGCCGGGCCGAGGCCGGAGAGGGGGCGCGTGCCCAGGCTCAGCTCAGAGGCAGGCAGACAACACAGGCACGCAGACACCCAGAAGCGCAGGCACGCAGGCACACTCAGACGCGCAGAAGCACCGACACACAGACACACAGAGACACAGCTACACAGGCACACAGGCACCAGAAACACGGACACACAGACAACCCATACAGGCACACGGGCACACAGGCACACAACCACACAGACACAGAGGTACACAAACACGCAAATACACCCTCACAAACGCAAAGAAGCAAACACGCAAACATGCACAGACGCACGCACGCACACACGCACGCACACGCACAAGCACACGCACACGCACACGCACATGCACACGCAGACGCAGACGCACACGCACACGCACATGCACACGCAGACGCAGACGCACACGCACACGCACACGTACACGTACACGCACACGCACACGCACACGCACACGCACACGCACGCACACAAACGCACGCACATACACACAAACACACACACACAAACACACACACACACACGCACACGCACACGCACACGCACACGCACACACAAGCACACACACACACACGCACACACACACACGCACACACACAAACACACACACAAACACACACACAAACACACACACACACACATACACACATACACACATACACACATACACACAACACAAACACTCACGCACATTCACACAATGTTCCCCTTCCCTTTCTCCTGACTCTTCCCCTGTCGCCGATCCCTCCTCCCTCCTCTCTGTTCCTCTGTCCCTCATCCTGGCTCCCGTCCCGTCCCCCGCCCCCTCCCCGCCCTCTCCACCCCCTCCTCGTACACCTCGCCTTTTCCACCCCCTCCCATCCCTTCTCCCCTGCTCGTTCCCTCCCCATTCTCTTCCCAATCCCCCCTTCCGTCTCCACCTTCACAAATACACATCATAATGTTCTACTGTCCTCGCTCCCCTGGTACTGCCTGGTTGTTCTTCCGCGCATGGTGTTACAACAAAGGCGCATTCATTTGTTTGATACATTGTTTCGTTCGAATCGATGCCGGTCCTTGAAGAATGCGTTCTCGCTGCAGCCTTGGCCTCAATTTCGGATCCATGTTGTTCCCGTCGTTCAGAAAGGCGCTCTCGCCATAACGCGCGGCCCACTTGTAGATCCGATTCCTTCTGTGTCGGTGCCACCCCCAATGTGTCCGCCTGTCCTCCAGCTCCTGCTGCTCCTGCTGCTGCTGAGACAACTCCTCATAATCTCCTCCTCCTCAACCTCCTCCTCCTCCTCCTCCCGCTCCCTTCCTCTCTCTCATAATCCTGCTCATCGGCCACCTTCGCCTCCTGCTCCTCCAGTGCAAAGGCCCCTCTGTGTGTTGCACATAGCACGACGTGGTCTCTTGGGGGATACGGGTCCTCAGGAACACCCCCGTCGGCGGATACAGTCGGGGCGTGGACCTAAGGAACCCTAAATAAGGAACGAGGCCCTTTTTTCCATAAGTTAAACTTCGATTTCCGATCAAAAGCATAAGGAGAACCTGAGGCAAGCTGCGAAACACTTCAGGAACGCGGAGTCCCTCCCCAACGAAAAGGGTTCCTTCTTCAGAGCCCCGACTGTACAACATGATTCAGCGCATTGCGAGCGGATCGGTGGAATGGGGTGGGGCTGGATGTCGGAGATGGCGCGAGCGCATCTAGCTTGTCCGCCCCCCCTCGCTCCCTTCCCCTGCCGCTTCCTCCTCCTACCCCTTCCGCTCCCCGAGTCCTGCCCCTCCATCCTCTCCCCTTCTGCCCCCGCCGCCCTTGCTCCTTGCCCCTGCCCGTCGGGGCGTGGCCGTGCAGGGGGCGCACGAAGTTCGGGTGCTTGCTGGACACGTACCAGGTACTGTCTGTATTGTTGAAGATCGTGACGGCGGAATGCTCCCGGATGACGTCGAAGACCTGGCTCCCCCTCCTCCACCTCCTCCGTCCCTCGGGGCGGGGCTGCGAAAGGACACCGTTCTAGCCTACCCGTCGCAGGGCACCGCAGGGCGCGCAAGAAAATGGTACCTTACGTGTCTCGCCTCAGTGCGCTACGGAAGGGCTCCTGATCAGTTCGAGAGAATATTGGAAACTCCTGCTGCGAGTTCTCGCTCTTGCACTCGTGTCCTATGGATGCTGCTCTATGGCTTGTGCCCTTGGTTCTCCAGACAGTGCTGTGACTCATGGGCTCTGGCTTTCCCGGTGGAATCGCCCTCCCCTAAGCTGTTCGTGCCAATGCTAGGTCGGGCATGCCCCCCTACAGGCGGATTCTGGACGGGGGAAAAAATACCCCCAAAACTGCACGAGAGATAAACAAACAATGGTCGACAAATAATTCGTCCCCAGACCATTTTTGGACAGTTTTTGTTGCCTATTCCTCCTGTAGCGGGACAGGCCCGACTTCATGCCCATGGCTCCTGCCCTGGTTGGCAGGGCCTTGGAGCTGCTCGCCGTGGCCTCTGGCTCCTGCAACGGTGCCTCCTGCGCGGTGCTCCGTGGATCGCCGGTGCCGCGTGCGGCCCATGCTGGGTCGGGCGCGTCCACCTACAGGCGGATTTTGGGCGAAAAATAAAAACAATCAAACATGCCCCGAAATAGTAACAACCATGCAAGAGCAGTCGTCCCCAGACTATTTTTGTCTGTTTTCGAATATCCTGTAGAGGGACCTCGACATCGGTGCGTGATGGGTGGTTGATGCGGTGCTTGCGCTCATGGGCTCTTGATCTTTCCGACAGGAGTTGCCCATGACAGATGCCATATGGAGGCCTCTGGACATCCAGCAGATGAGGTTCAACATGTTGTCGAGCGTCGACGAGCCTCATCCCAATACCTCCGAGGTCGTTCCATTTGCAAGACGCGGCTCCATGAGATCCTGACGCCTTCTGGCGAACAGGTTTTCGTCCCATATGTGTATGTTGGTTGCCTGGGAGCAAGACAGCTGCTCCTGGATGACGTGGAACAAGTGCTCGCCTTCATTTCGTTCAGATTCGCTGAAGGTTGGGGCCCAACTCCCTCGGTGCGCTCTGAATACCATGTCGAGGCAGATCCAGATATGGCGACGAGGACCCCCCAGAAGGCCCAAAAGCATCCAACCAAGCCTTGGAACCACGATCCTTGAACCCTCCTCCACCCGAGGCTGCCCAGATCCCCCATCTTGCTGTTCTCGTCACGCGGATCTCCTTCGGTGGCAATTCATGGGAGCCTCCCATACCATCTTGTCCGCTCTTGCGAGTCAACGCTAGACGACGCGAAACCGACGCTAATCGACGTAAATCGACGCGAATCGACGCTCACCGACGCTAAGTCGGCGCTATATCATCGACACCCAGACGCTAATCGACGCTAGTCGACTCGAAAGACAGAATTGCGAGGGCACGCAAGGCTCCTAAGAATCGCTACCGAAATCTCCAGTCTGGACCCCTTCCCTGGGACTGGCTGCTCATCCTGAGTCGTTTTTTGACGGTCTCTGGGCCCAGTGAGGGCCCCCCAGGGGGCCGAGTATTGCGCAGAACCTCCCGCCGTGAGTTCTGTCATGCCGCGAAGGGGCCAGGGTCTCCTCCGGAGGTCTGCAGAGAGAGCCGCGAGAACCCGTCCTGGGGCGCGCTCGGGCCAGCATTTGGAGGCGGATCCGGCCATGGCGACGAAGAAACCCCGGGCCCCATGGAGGCCCCAAAAAGAAGAAGAGGACGAAGAAGAACAAGCACCATAAACTCAAGGGGCCCAAGGACACACAAATAAATACACACAAATAGAAATATTCCCCCCACATTTTCTCATATTTTCTGGGTTTTCGTCTTCCCGCCCACTTCCCATATCTTCCCATATTATCTAGGGGATCGACGATGAATTGTGTCTCTGTGTGTTTTTCCTCCTCATAAACATAAACTTCTGGCGCTCCGCGCGGATTTCTTGGATCCGCGCTGGGCCCCCCTGGCGGCGCCTCTGGCGCAGCCCCTGGCGCAGTCGCGCCAGGGAGGGGGGTCTGACGCATGTCCGAGACATCCGCGCGGAGCGCCAAAAGGTTATGTTTATGCCGTTGTTCCTTTGGCGGCGCGCACACCGGGGTAGGGGAGGGGGGAAGGCTTCTTAGAAGGAGGCTGCTTCTTAGAAGGCGCCGGCCTTACATCTACAAAGAAGGCCCGCGCCTTCTAAGAAGCAGACGAGGTGTTTCTCAGAAGCCTTTCCCCCTCCCCCTACCACCTTCTGCGCGTGGCCAGTTTCTTCTTCTACAGAAATCCCAGGAGCGCCCCGAATGGGCAGCACCACGACATCGGGGCAGTGCGAGAGGAACCCAACATGGGCCGCGAGGCCGGGGGGAAGTCAGAGGGAGAAGGCCCCCTCAGAAGGCGGCGGGACTTCTCAGAAAACCACGCGCCTCCCGAGCAAATTTCTGCGTCTTCGGGGAAGGCTCAGAAAACTGCTCAGAGGGCCCGAGGCCGTCCGAGCCTTGGGAGAAGGCCCACCCCTTCTCACTTCCTCTCTGGGCGCGCCGCTGACAAAAAACAACGCACACGTGCATCTCCACCCGTCACTGGAGCCTGCGGCCCCTTCGCCCGAAGACGGGGTAGCGCAGGCATGGTGCGACGGACGCGGCGCAGACAAGAACCGCGAGGGCGAGGCATCCCAGCGCTCAAGGCGAGGGAGGGACAACGATACGGGGTGAACCCGCTCGGGGGGGGGAGACGGCGAGACGGCGATGCATCGCCGACAGGTTGGCGGTGGTCCCCAGCGCGCTGCTGGCAGGGGGGATGGGCCATCGCGCCCCTGTCGGCGACGAGCGGGCGATTGGGGGATCGACGCGGTGCCCCCCGACACTGTCCTGAGGTCGGGCCCGTACAGGGGGATTGTGGACGCAAAATGAAAAAAGAGCCAACAGATACCCCAAAACATTGTCAATATCGGCAGTGGACAAACCTCCCTTTAGTAAACCTCCCCTCAGTGAAAACGACCCAGGGCCGAAATCGACGGACCTGGACCCGCAAAAATGACGGCCGCGACCCTCTCTCGCGAAGCGAAAACGGCCAATTCGGTAATCGACGTGTCAGGGTTAGGTCTGTCCACCTCCGACAATAATAGAAACGAAATCGTCCCCAGACTGTTTGCTTAACTATTTTTGAGTATTCCTCCTGTAGGGGGACAGGCCCGACTTAACACTATCCCACCCTCCTTACGTTACTCGGGTCGGGCGAACGGGGGGGATAGCAAAGGGGTGGTTTGAGGATCGGCTCGCGTAGCTGATTTTCCCAGCGCCTCCCGGCGCCGGGAGGCGCCCATGTATCGAGGACTGGGCCCCTCGGCGAGGCCGAAACCAGCTGCATGCAGCAAATTTCGCAACGCCCCCTTTCTCGGGGATGGACAGGCCCCCCTTTCGTAAAACGTGGTTTAGTGAAAACGACCTGAGGCCCAAACCTGGCGGGCGCAAGCCTGGAAAATCGCGGCGGCCACGGCGCCCTCCCGAGAACCGAAAACGGACAATTCACTAATCGACGTGTCACTGTTGGGGGTTCTGCCCACCCCCGACTTTCCCGATTCCCCCCCTTTCGTCCAGCCCGAGCTGCTACGGCCGCTCGGAGCGACCCGGGCACCTCCGGACACCTCTCGGCGAGGCGCAGCCGCCGGCTAGGCACCCCGAGGCCGGAGAACCACCGGGGACCGCTGAGAACGTTCGAGCACCTCCAGCCCTCGGAGCATCCTTCTCCTGCATTTCCTTCTCGTCCTCCTCCTCCTGCTTCTCCTTCTTCTCCTTCTCCTCCTCCTCCTCCTCCTCCTCTTCCTCCTCCTCCTCCTCCTCTGCCCCCCCCCGCCCAACGGTGCTCCTGAGTCGGGGAAACGTGAGACTCGGGTTCGGGGGACTCGGGTTGGCCTGACGGGGCCAGAATGAAAACTACGAGGCCCAGTGTGAATCAAGCTTGACGCGAGCTCTCGCTGCAGACATCCCACGAAAACTGGAACGTCAAAACCCAAGACGCGCTCGTCAAAATTGTCGGCAAACCCGAGTTCCGGCTGTACTCGAGTCTTACCTTTCCCCGAGATGAGGGGGGGGAGGTGCCTCCAGCCACTCCTCGTCGCCCGCGTCGATGATGCCCAGGTCCTCCTCGTTGTCCAGCTCGTCCGCGCGGCGGCTGCCAGCGCCGCGAGCCGCGACGGCCTGGTCCTGCGCGAGAGCCAGGTAAGGGAAAAGGGAGGAGGAGGCGGAGGAGGAGGAGGAGCAGGAGGAGGAGGAGGAGGAGGAGGAGGACGAGCAGGAGGGAGGGAGGGAGGAGGTGGTGGAGGGAGGGGGTAGGGAGGACGCCAGGACGCAGGAGGAGGAAGATGAGGAGGGAGGAGGAGGAGGAGGAGGAGGAGGAGGAGGATGATGATGATGAGGAGGAGGAGGAGGAGGAGGAGGAGGAGGGGGAGGAGGAGGAAGAGGGTGAGGAGGAGGAGGAGCAGGATAAGGGGGAAGACGAGGAGGAGGAGGAGGAGGAGGAGGACTGAGGACTCTGGGGTGCCATCAACAGAGTGAAGGAGGAGGACGCCATGGAAGGAAGAACGAGGACTGAGGACGCTAGGGTGAGGACGGGGAGGAGCTGCCCATCCTGGCCGGCAAATGTAGAGGGTCAATGTGTTTGGGTGTGTATGTAGGGCACTTGTTAAGCCTCCAGTCGCCACTGAGACATCAGGGACGAGGGAGGCGAAGGAGTAGGATGAGAAAAAGGAAGTCAAAGGTGGATCATCACGGCTGTCAGTTAGGGCGCGGGCAAGTCTCCATGATCTGTGGGTGCGTTGCTTGGTGAGTGACGGCTCTGGCATCGAGGCCGAAAAAGGGGGAGGTCAGCAGTCAGGGCGTGAGGGTGCTTCGTTTGGAGTAGCGGTCGATGTTCCACCTCTAAGTGGTCCTGCTTTTCGATGGCCATCGCCCCAAACACACCGCATGCACTCTTGGATCCAATCGAATCTGGGCCCTACGGGGTGTCATCCTGTTCTGCGGTGGGGTTGCGAGGAGTGCTGACTCTCTAGACTCTCTGTTGCCAGCCCTATGGCTCTGTCTCATGCTCCCCCCCTCCCTGCGCACCATCCCGGCAGTCCCAGTCCAACAC